GGGGGGTGAATAAAGGTCTCCTGTAGTGAATCGATGCGTTTTTGTAAGAAACATATCCATATTTAAAACTTTGTAAACCGTAATCTCTAGCTTCTGCTAACTGTCGTACGCGTGTTCACTCCGGCGGATGACGGAGTCGTAGCATAAAGTCCGCTGAGAGTATACTAGTCTTGCTTTGTTTACAGGAGCAAAGGAAGCAGTTTCCTTACTTTAGCAAAGGAAAACCAGTCTTCTCTTGGCTTACAGTATATCGAAATCCTCCAACATTTTTCATTTCAAATCTTTGTTTTGTACTTCTTATTCATGACCGGCGTTTTGTTTTGCTGATTCGTCACTTCTCACCGGATCTTACGCTATGCTTACGTCATCCGCCGGAATGAACGCGTGTACGACAGTTTGCAGAAGCTAGAGATTACGGTTAATAATGTTTTAAATATGGATATGTTTCTTACAAAAAAACGCATTGATTTGCTACAGGAGGCCTTTATTCACCCCCCGGAGCCGTGTGGGATACTTTTTATGTTGGATGGATGCGCTTTATTGGACTTCTTTTAGACCAAGAATGTCATATACACCTAGAATGGCTTGAGAGTGAGTAAATCATGGGGTAATTTTCATTTTTGTGTGAACTATCCCTTTAATGTTTTATGCATCGTTTCACTCAGCTAACTACAGATTTGTGTTCTCTATTTACACAACCAAGTAAACCCGAAAATCTAAAAATGTACAAAAAACTCAAGGGGACAAACAAAGGTTTTTCCAGAAGATTAGAACAGTTGTGTTTAAACCATTTAATTTTCATTATATATATATATATATATATATATATATTAAATGCAAACAAATGTATTTACTGCGTCATATAAATTAATAATGTTTGTGAACACCACTTTTTTATTTATTTACTTACAGGCAGTTGTTTAAACCATTAAAATTTAATTAAATTTATTTTAAAATTAATTTTTTTTTAAATTCAATATTTTATCGTCTGTCTTGAGTGTAGCTAAGCGTAAGCTAAGCTAATTGCAATACATGAATATAACAAAAAGGAACCGATTAAACAATAATCTTGTGACAATAATAATCTTTGTTTCTCAGGTGGACATTGGCCCAGTGTCTGAGCCGGTCTCTCCTCCTGATCCCGCTCCTCCTGAGAAGGCTGTCAGGACCAGTTCCCATAATTCCCAGCGCAGGTACACATCCCACCAGCACAAAATATGTTTTCCAGAGCGGGC